GCAGCTTGTCAGGGGCTCAGGCTGGCTGTGGCTTGTGGCCATGGCTTGTCAGTGCTCATGCTTGGCCTTTGGCAGCCTTGCTGTGTGCCCTGGCCCTGAGGGCTGCTGTGACTGCAGGGGCTGGAGCCTTCCTTAGCTGGGAGAGTGGCGCTGCCGCCCGGCCGGCCGCTGCAGAGCCGAGCTGGCCCGAGGCAGCAGCCCCCGTCTGGGCCGGCTTCTGCACGGCACGGCCTGGACTCCCGAGAGGGACAGCATCTCCTCTGGGCAGCTGTGCGTGTCACAGCGGCGCCTGAGCAGCACTGCTGTCCTCGCTGCCCTTGCCCGCTGTGCCCACTTGGGAAGGTGGGGGGGACGTGTGCGGTGCTGAGAGGCCGAGTCCAATGGCAGCCACTGATCCGCACTGTCAGGGTGAAGGGAAGCACTGGGGTTCTTCCCATGGGCCCTGGGCAAGGGCGTCTTGGAGCTCAGCCTGCTCATACAGGGTGAGGGTCCTGATGCCAAAAGCCCCCTTGGAATGGGTTACAGCATCAGCTGCTCTGCTTTACAGATGGAAAGGCATTCATTCTTTTGGCAAATTGCAGCATGCTGGAGATGATGGGAACATTTGGCAATGCTCTTCCTCTTACCAAATTGGCATCTCTTTGTAGGAATTGATTCTAGGTGTCAAGATGCATTTAATCTTAGGAAGTATGAAACCTTTTGTTGAATGAAACATTGAAGTGTTTATTCCCAAGAAAAGAAAGGCTCTGTTAGGTCCAGCTCTCTTTAATGTTTATAGATGACAAACATACTTGCCATGCTACCTGTTCTCTTCTGGTCTCTGTTTCCTCTGAATGTAGTCTCCCTGTGCTTAGTTTCCTGTCAAGAAGTCTTTTCAAAGGATTGTTCAAAATCAGTTTTTGTGCCAGGCACTTGTGCTGTGCAGCTGCCTCTCTTCTTGTTGTTGCTCCTGTTCTTCTTGTTGCTGCCCAGCTGACTACAAAGTGTCCAAAACCCCAGACAGTGGGGCTGCCTTTTGTATCTCTTGGAAGGTGGGATTTCTGCTTGAAAGTGAGCATCTTGTATTTTGTTTCTCTCAGGAAAAATGGTGAACATGGAAAATCCCAGGATGAAATACATTGAACTGGAAAATCTGGGCAGCGGGTGAGTCCAATCTCAGTTACTTCTCCAAAACCATGGGCCAGGTGTTCTGCTGGTGGAATAACCAGCAAGTGTGAAGTTAGACACTTCACTTCAAACAAGTTAGACACTCATTTTCAAACATATTCAGACTCTGAGGTTAGATTGTCACTGATGATCAGAATTTATAAGTGTGCTCAGAAGGCATTGTCATAGACATCTCCATGCTGCCAACTGTCATGCAGCTTTTAAGTATTTACAGCAAAGATCTCCTGTCTGGAGTGGCTTTCACTCCAAGATCTAAACAGCTTCTCCTTTCTTTGCTGCTGTTTTTTTTCTAGGGCTTTTGGAGAGGTTTCTAGAGCACTTGACATTGCCACAGGAGGAGAGGTAAATGTCAACAGCCCCTGCAGACTCTGCTGCTCTCAAGGCCTTTCCCTACGGGTGACATCTGTGCCTGGAGCTTTGGGTAGAGCTGTGCAGCAAAGACACAGGAAGCACAGACTGGTGCCAGCCTGCAAATTGCACTTGGGACAGTCTTTGTCCTTCTCAGCTGCCAGTAGGAAGGCAAGGAGGGCAGCGGTTCCTTGCAGAGAAGGACGTGCCCACTTGCTCTCATTTGCTAAAACCAAGGTTTAGCATGTCACTTAGAGCATCTCACTGCTCCTTGGGGCTAGAGCTTCAGAGTCCTGAATCCTCATTTCTGGCTACCAGCAAATACATCTGAATGTTACTGGTAGCTCATTAGCCACTTGGGAGCTGTACATAGGGAGAGATCTGCAAGGTGTCCCTAAAAGCCCAAAGGCCTGCCTGTATCCACAGAGTACCAAGGCACAGATTACTTCTCTGGAAGTGCAGGCAGAGCAGCAGAGAGTGTGGTCAGAGCTTTGTGGGTGAGAGTTGATACACCTTTGTTACCAAGTGGACAAGGCAAAGTGTCAGTGGTCAGGTGTCATGTAACTGTCCCCAAGGGAGCAGAGCAATGGGCTGTTGGATTGTCACTTCCTAATTACTCCAATGTCTAATCACAAGGTGCTTTGGCACAGCTTGGCTGTGCCAGTCCAGAATCACTCACTCCATGTGAGAAGCTCCATGCCAACTTCCAAAGTTACTCATTTTCAATATCATTTTAGGTGGCCATAAAGAAAATCAATCTTCAAGGACAGATCAGGAAGGAAGCAATTGCTTATGAACTCATGGTCATGAAAATGAATAGGAACCCCAACATTGTGACCTGTTTAGAGAGGTGAGGGGTTCTTGTTTTATCCCACCAATATTTATTTACATACTTCATGCATGCAAAGTTAAAAACCCACTTTGGATACTGGCAGAAAAAAGAGCTCTTAATTACTGGTTAATTATGATTTCTCACCTTATCTCCAGTGGATGGAAGAGATTTTTGCATTTTGTCTGCATTATTCTACCCTGGCAAATGCAGCTTGAAAATTGTCCAAAAATCTGGATCAGCCTTATCTTAAGAACAAAACACCCTGTAAATTCATTTCCTCCACATTGGATTGGGGCTTAACTTTTTCAAGTTTTTAGGAGCACCTTTGAAGTGCTGATAAACCACCCTAGAGAGAGGATTTCCCTTGCATTGCTGCCCTTTTTCCATTGCTGTGAATGCCAGGAAGACTCGGTGCTTATTAAAAGAGATACCATGTGTGACAGCTTTTTTATCTGGGCTGTTACTAAAGTGCATTTTTCACTTGCTGGCCATTTAAGACATCTCCTTTTTTGTACATGTGCCATTCTCCTTGAGACTGCACAGACTGCAAACCCTGCACAGCCTAGAGGCAATGTCTATTCCTTTTATTCTGTCCTTGTCACAAAGGCACCCAGAAAAAGAATCAACTGTTGTCTTTTGCAAACAGCAACGTAGCCATGCATGTTCATCTCCACACCCTTGTTTCCTTCTTTCAGTTACTTTGTGGGGAAGCACCTTTGGCTGGTGATGGAGTACATGGACGGAGGCACTCTGAGAGATATCATCAGTGAGACTCAAATGTCAGAAGGAGAGATTGCAGTTGTCAGCCGTGAGGTCAGGGATCCCACCTGTGCTTCCAAGGGCTTGAGCAAGATTGTCTGGGAAACTGGGGCTCAGAATGGGAGTGATTTCATGGGCCAAGCTTGGTTTCTGTGTTGCTGGTATGCTATGGGCAAGCAAGAGCCTTTCAAGTGAACTGCCTGCCAGTGTCCCTGCACTCACTCTACTCACTCCTTGTACTCTTATCTCCTGCTGCTGTATTCTAGTTCTGTCGCTTCTATTTGGATTTGCTGTTCTCCACCTTGCCTCTCTAAATGCTTACTTTGTGCTTATCTGCACTGCATTCCTTGCCTGTAAAAGCAAAGGTGCTGGTTGGCAGGATTTGAAATGAACAGCAGAGAAGAAAAAGAGACTCATTTCTTTTAGGTCTCAGCAGAAAAGGATAGTAGTGCAGCCCAAATGCTGTTTGCTTCTGAGCACACCCACTGCAGCTGCAGTCACTCTGCCTGGTTTGCAGGGGACAGTCTACAACAGCAGTTGCTGCTGCTGTTTCAAAAGCTGCCATGCCTTTCCTGACAAAGGTCCTGCTCTGCTGCTGTTGCAGCAGCAGGCTCTTCCTCTCAGTGGCACTGTGTTCTGCCATTACTCCCCATTCCCCTGCAAAGGGAATTTTTACAGCTGTTTCCTTGCTTGTGTGATGAAATCACATCACTCATTTTTATCTCCCTCTTTTGTTTTCTCTCTCAGTGCCTGCAAGGACTGGATTTTCTTCACTCCAACCATGTGATCCATCAAGATGTGAAGAGCTGCAACATCCTTCTCAGAACGGACGGCTCTGTCAAGCTGGGTCAGTGTATTCTTGGTCAGGTTCAGCCTCCCAGGGATGTGGGGCTGCTTTCAGTGACTGCCAGCTCCCCAAAAATGGTGCTGCTGGCAGTGCAGGGGCCCCTGCTGTGAGCTGAAGGCACAGTTGTGATGTGCACAGAGGTATGACAAGGTACCACAAGCAGTCAAGAGTGGCATTGCTGTGTCCCATCCAAAGGGAAGGAGCTACAATCTAAAGCTTCAGAAAAAGAAAGGCCATTGCTGGAGGAAGTGTAAAAAAGGTGGGGATTTTTTGAAGCAGCCAATGCCATATTTCCTTGGTTAAAGCCCTGAGGAAATTGAGCAGGAATGGATTTCCAGCAGATGACAAAGTGCATTCTGAGACTGGGAGTGGGCAATTCTTTTGCTTGGTTTCCTAATTGGAGCTGCCTTTCATGGTGTGTTGTTTTCTCCACAGCTGACTTTGGCCTCTCTGCTCAGCTCACCCCTGAGCAGAGGAGACAGATCTCCGTGGCCAGCACTTCGGGGTGGATGGCGCCTGAAGTCGTGACAGGTCACCCGTACGGCCCCAAAATGGACATATGGTCTTTTGGAATCGTGGGCATCGAAATGGTGGAACGAGAAGTTCCTTCCTGGAATGAAACTCCTGTCTCGGTAAGGCGCATATAAATGCCATTGCCATCTGCTGGCACTACTTCCACCAAGGTCCCCTTCTAAAAATGTCCCTGCTGGACAAAATGCCATTGCCATCTGCTGGCACTACTTCCACCAAGGTCCCCTTCTAAAAATGTCCCTGCAGCACATCAGCATCTGCTGTAGGTTTGGTTGCATCAGCAGGTAAGTGGCAAGTACCCAGTTCAGAAACGTGCCATTTTGGCCTGCAGCCATGCTGGCCTCCGTGACATTTCTCTTTTGCTTTTTGAAAATTCTTGAAGCTTGTCTCTGAAGGAGAAGAATTTTTCAGTGGAGAGTTCAGCAGTGTGATAAATATCCTTTGAGATGGAGTTGGGACCTTCCTGTTTTCAATTTTCTAGAAGAAGAAAAAATGAAAATAAAGAAAAGGGAATGGAAAAGAAAAAGCAGAAAAAAAGAGAAATGGAACGAGAAAAAAAGAAAAAGGAATAGGATAAGGAAAAGGGGGAGGAAGAGGAAGGGAAAAGGGAAGGGAAAAGGAAAGAGTAAGAAGGAAAAGGAAAAGGAAAATATAAAGTTAAACTTAAAATGAAGAATAAAAATAAAATCAGGAAAAGGTAAAGAAAAAGAAAAAGAAAAAGAAAAAGAAAAAGAAAAAGAAAATAATAGAACAAAAAGGAAAAGTAAACAGAAAATACAAAAATCAAAGTAGTTCTGCTTGCTTTTTCCTTTATTAAACAAAGCACATCCATTTTTGTCCAAATTCTAGCATCTTTTCCAAATCCTGTGGCTTTCAAGTCATCTGTACATTGTTCTGTCATGTGTCTGGGTGGCCTGGAAAAGTTCAGGATGTGTTTTTCTCCAGCTGCAGTTAGAATTGTGTGCCAAAGCCCCGGCTGTTTCTTGGTACTTGAACAGGAGGATGAGCCTGCAGTCAGGTGCCTGGGGCTGGGATCCAAGGGGTGCGGTTGACGCCGGTGCTGTTCCTTTAGCACAGGAGCAGGGCCATCCCTGGGTTGCACAGCGCTAGTGACAGTGAGGACTCCTCACCATGCCCACTAGCTGAGCTCAGCTGCAGAGGGACGGGATAAAACCTTCTTTTTGACCTCTGTT